GTTTGGGAGGTGACTTCCGCTTCAATATATCAACTGTACCTCCATAAGGAAAAACACATTCATGAGGAAAAACTCACACAGTCACTTCAAATTCAGTTAATAGTCAATTTGTAATAATTTATTGTAGCTTTAACTTTCATTATGAATCCCTCCCAGGTGAGTGCATGAAAATTATTAGTTATTTTGATAGCACAGGATGAGTGTTATATTGCTGGCTGCTGAAAAATTAGATGGTAAGTTATAGCAGAGTGTAACATTGTGGCTATGTGAATTCAGTGTGATTGACTGGAGTAGCCTCTGGTTATTCCAGTTTAACCCACAAGGTGGCACTGTGAACCTTTGTTGTTAAAGTCTGTCCTCTGTTTGGCATTTGGTATTTTTACCCCAAACTGTTGGAATAACAAGGAATGATTTTAAGAAAGATTTTAAATTGTAAAACAAAACAAAAACGTAGTCTTGGATTTTATCTTTTTAAAATTTTGTATAATTACTTAAAGACAAACCTATCATAGTATATTAAGAAATTAGCGTACATTTAATGTTTTAAAGCTGTTTATCTGCTGAATGGTATGTGTTGTGCTAGCCACTTAGTCATGGCAACCAGATAAACAAACAGGTACCATATTTAGAAGTATTACATAAAACTCATACCATCTTCTCTACTGTACATGTGGGTGTGTGGTATGACCAACAAACAACCAACTCATGATTCCACAGAATTGATCATGCCTGCCATACTGTGTCACCTGTAAAGGAATTTTATATATTATCATAAAGACCACGATGATAATCATCTCAGCTGTTTGGAATCTTGCATTAAACATTTCTTTTTGGTTAGTTGTATAGTATGCTATGGTGTGTAACAAGGGGGTTTTCTGAGGAGGTATCATTTTTAATTGTACCCCTTCTTGTCCATCTAGTATAAAGCTTGAGGTAGTTAGGCACTTGTTGCCCTGTCTGACCTCTGCAGGTAGCAAGGCACAGGGGCCATGTGTGAATAGGCCTTTAGAAAGCACTGGTGTGGTGGCAAGGCTGCTGACTCAGGCAGCTCGCAGTACGCCACCCCTGTCCTCAGCAACCACTGGCCCAGTCCGGTCTCCATCCAGTACAGAGAGCATGTCAGTATCCTAGCACACAGTCAAAAATTAAGTTGCCGAGTCTGGAGAAGCATACTCTTTTTTGGGGGGGAAAAATAAAGAAACGAGACAAAACCGACGCATTTCAGATGCAGAGTGGCATAGAGCTTAATGACGAACCCAGGTAAGACACGCACAACGGCCTCATATTCCACTTCACCATCCCCATACATGCTGCTCTTTCAGCCATGGCCATCCCACAGTAAAACAGTTGTAGCTGTTTGCCCACCCTCACTCAGATGTTTGGTACAGTTTATTTGCACAGTTTAGAAGTGGAAAGGGGGCTTCAAAACGTTCTGGATCATGTTTGTTAGAATACAGCTGGGCTGCCTGTGAGTGTATGTGCATGATCGCCGTGCATTGTTTCCATGCTGGAGTAACCTGATGACTAGGCTCTTCTGGAATGAGCCTGGATTTTGTGAGCCCCCAATGGACCACCGCTGGCTTAGCTATATGGCTGGATCTTTTAAAGAATAAAAATATGACAGATTTGTGAGAATTACCACTCCTAGAAGATTTCCTCTCACTCTACATTGATGTGGTTGTGATTTTTTAATATCTACAATAAGCAAAAATGTTGTAGTTTTTTTCTTGAACCCGGCAGTGGATTGCTGTGACCAAATTTTGCCGTGACATTAATGCTTTATTGGAAAATGTAGGTACTTTTGGTTTCTGAGTGTTTTCAGTGCGAGTTTTCTTTGTGTTGACATTTACTTATGTCGAAGTAACTGTTGTGTAGAAACATTGGGGTTAGATAGCATGACAGTGTCTTTTAAGAGTCAAGGATATTTTCTCAGGCTTTTACTTTGCAAGTCAGCATGATGGAAGTTTTCTCTGCACTTACTGGCTTGATTGTAGATGAGCACATTTTTTCTAATATGTCATTTTCATTCCTGTTTCTATTCCTCTATCTGTTTTGCTTTTTGTTTTCTTATAGGTTGTTTTAAAAGGTCTAAAAGACAGTAATGTTAAGAACTTTTAGTAAGAATATTGTTATGAATGTAGCCTGTTGTATATGTTTTATGTCGGCATTATTATAAGTGTAGCTGCACTTAAAAATGTCTGTTACTGCTGCAAAGTATAGGTAATATTGAAGTACTTTAGTGGTAAATTGTACAGTATATTAATGATGTGAACACAGACATGTTCACTTTTCTTAATATTTTGTTTCTGTCTGAGTCTATTAGTAAGAACAATAAGGATGGCCACACACGGGAGCAGGACAAATCCTCTGAAAGCCTGTACAGAATTGTTTTACCAACATTCCAGTATAAAATGAGTCAGCAGCGAGTGGGAAAGTGCATCATCATCAACAACAAACACTTTGACAAAAGGACAGGTACAGCAGATGTGTTTCAAACACAACGCACTGTTACATTTTTGTTTTGCTCAGTATTATTGCATAAAGAGTGTGATCTCAGTAGACTGTCTCTACAGGGATGAATATACGCAATGGCACGGATATAGATGCAGGTGAGCTGTTCAAATGCTTCAAGAGCCTGGGCTTCGATGTCTTCCTCCACAATGATCAGACATGTGAGAAGATGGAGCGTCTTCTGACAGAAGGTGAGTAGTAAAGTTCTCTGTAATTCTGAGATGTCACTTAAGCCATTTTTCTCACTTGTTCTTACAAACTGTACAAAGTTTATAAAATGGAAGAATGTTCAAGAAAATAATTGTTCCTTCATAGTGTCATTCCTATAGTACTGTAGTTGCTGGCCTATCTATCAACCCTGAAACTGAATGATGGCTACTTTAAAAATGGCTTTGCCAGGTTTGTCCTGGCTCAGATGTTGGCAGGATGACATCTAGACTACAACCCACAAATAAACATCACTGTGGTTACATCTGTATGATATGATTATTGTCATGATTCAGTTCCGCTGCTTCCCGTCCGGCTTTTATTTTGACGTTACTTCCTCTTTTTGTTTCACCTTAGTTTCGGTCTTTTTACGTTCTTCATTACTCACATTAGTTTCACCTGCTTTGTTATTGTTTGCACCTGTTTACACCTCTATTTAGGCAGCGTCCTCCCACAAGGACGCTGCCAGATTGTTCTAGACCCCAGCTCTGACTTTCCAGCTTTCCTTCGGTTTTGGTATCTTGTGTTTCTGACCCGGACTGCTTCCTTGGATTATTCTGTTCTGCCTTGCCCTCTTATTTCGGACTGCTTCAGTGTATCGGCTTAACGGACTTATCTTTGGACAACGCGTTTTGGATTCCCCTGGATGTATGTGTTTGCTGGCTCTGATCTCGGACTGTTATACCGACCGTGAGTTTTGTGTTTCCACCGTGTCTTGTATGGTTTTTTGTTCAACGTTAGTTCTCTTAATAAAGAGACGGTTTTGTTT